TGGGTTAGATTGCTGATACTCTATCCAATCTCTATCCTAATTATCCCTCTCATTGCGAAATTCCTGGAGTTTAATAAATTGACCCCAACCTGCAAGTTAACCATGAGCCCGTGATGCTTTGGGATCTAAATCCATCAAAAATAGGAGTAATCTACGCTAATACAACATGGCAACGGACATCCACATGTTTTATCGGAATATTATAGGAACATCATCCGCTGTTTTTTCCCATTACAATGCTGGATTACTGGAGGTATCTGCCCACTTTTTATGAGTGAATTCCCACTGTGTTACTTCTTTTTGTTTCAAGGTTCGGTTCGTCCCCACCATCAATGGTTCCCGATTCAGCAAGGTTAACAGCCTATTTCTTGGCTTGTCAAACCACAATTTCTGATGGTAAAAACCCAATCATTCAAGGTGCAATCCCCATTTTTCATGCTTGAATCCATGTAATTCCCAATGTTTGATGCCAAAATCATCTTAAATCCCAATGTTTCATGATTAAATCATATTAAATCCAGATTTCAAATCAACAAATCAAAAGTTAAACAACGAAATTTCTGCTGCTTTGCTCCTGCAGGGCTCCCTGCTGTGCGGCATCTGAGGTCGCAGGCGGTGCGGTTGGGAGGTGTCGCCTTGGCGATATTTCTCAGTTCCTGCGTCAAGTTTTCACCTGGCAAAGGGACGCCGAGCCTGGTGAAGTGAAGAAACACAAACAGGGATGATATTGGGTGTGTATAAATATGAATATGAATATGAATATATATATATACATATATATATACATAAATATAAATATATATATATATAATATATACACATAAAAATCTATATCTATATCTCCATTGTTGCTTAAATCAGATGCTTGAAATGGAAAGTTGGATCATTCAAACCCATTGTTGCCCAAAAAAAACCATGGATTTAACCATTTATTCAGTTGTAACATCCATAAATATATCCATAAACATCGATAAAAATCCATAACACTCTATTTCTGGATGGTTCTTGCCAACAATTTCACCCAAACATCTATGGTTACTATGCTTACTGGTGCGAAACGAAGGGAATGGGGGAATATGGGGAATGATCCATAAAATAAGTACTAATGATCCTATTCCTCCATTCCCTACGTTTCGCACCAATAGGTTTTCACCATGGTTCTTATGGTTTAACGTCAAGTGACTGGTCAGGCCGCCGCCATAGCCACAGTGGATGCCCGGGTGTCCGCAGGGCCTGCAGCGTAGCCAGCGTAGCGTTGGATGTCAGCAAGATATGTTGGGTACCATCTGGCAATGGAAAAATATAGCTATATCATGTTCATCTAACCATGGTACCCTCTGGATATATAACATAGCTACAGAACATGGTCCATCAACTATCATGTTCATCATCTATAAATGGACCATGTTCCGTAGCTATGTAAAAAACTATCCAGAGGGTATGAGTAGGAAAAGTGGGATTTAACCAATGAAGAAATTGGGAGCATGGGGATTTAACATGATTTACTGTAACCATGAAATATTGGGACTTAAGATGTGTTCAGTAAATATTGGGATTTATATAGAATTAACCACAAAAAATGGGGGTTTAACAACCAATAAAGATTAAACAAATGGAACGTGATTATAAACAAGTGGAATTTGGGTTTCCCTCTAGTCATTTAAACAACTATGGAACCGAACCATTTTTCATAGGTAAATCGTGTACAAATGAGCCGTATATGTATATGTGTATGATATGCATATGCATATATTAAGATATATTATATACAGTATGCAATCAAACATATCAGTATATATATATAATTATATGTATGCATATATATATACATACATACATTATTGTATGTAGGTGTAAACCAGATACGTTGCATTGCATTGCATGTTTCATTGCATCATATTACATAACGCTACACGCACTACATAAAGCTGACAAAAACTTGACATTGAGATACATTGAGCAACAAAAGGGATTAAGTAATACACTATCCTAAACGTTGCGTATTTTGTTTGTGTTCTTCCTCATTTATTCTTTGCAACCCGAAGTCACGATTTCAATTACTGTAAATACTAAGATGTAAATCGAATCGTAGCCTGCCAATGTTTGGTGGTCGGAGCGAGGCCAACGCCAAAACGGAAGAGCACTGCTTGCAGCGGTATCGGGTTTCATCCGGAAGAACAACTTTATTGCCTCAACTTCAAACTATAATTACGGTACTTTATCTCCAGCGACGGGCAACCATTGCAGGGACCAAGGGAAGTTGAAGAAACCCACTCAGAGGGATTTTCCATGATCTTCCACACTGTATATCATCTCAACACATCTCCAAAGTATCACCCTGCATCAGCATCCCGAACGTTTGAAGTAGATCCGGCAAAATGATCAAACATGCACCCCAAGCGGTTCCCAGCACAATCTGAACTGCGGTCGGACCCACATCACCCAGATCTAACCATGGCCGGCTGGACGGAGGCCGTCGGAAGGGACCCTTGCTGGCAGCAGTGTCCTTTGCAGGAGAATCCTTGTTGGTGCCTCACACAGCGCAGGGGATGTGCCATATTGCCGTGCCATGGTCAAGGTACATGGTATGCATGGGGGTCCAACCATCATTGTTATATTAGGATACGGGTATGTCTGCAAATATGGTACCCCTAAATTCACTGGTGAATCATCATTTTCCCTATTAGATTTGATTAGAGAATTCTTCAGGGTATACTCCATTTTCAGACAAACGAAGTTCCTGTAACCCCGATGAACAAAGGGGGGATGACCATCCGGGGGAACATATTCACCACCGTAGCTTGACCATGGCACGCATCATTCCCTTGTTTTGAGGTGCCCCAACAAACCACCATGTGGACCTATTCTCTCTGATCATTGCTACTGATTCCGCTTCCCTGAAGACTTGAATTGGTTTCTCAAATCATATGAAATGGGAACATCATTTACGTCACTAGATGGTCACTATGTAATTGTAATTCCCTGGCATAGATTTAAACCAAATGATACCACTTGCTAGACATCTAGTGACATCAGGGAACATGCGCAATCGGCCATTCCTGCATCAGACAAAAGTTTCTTTTTTGCGCAGATGAGTAAGAGGTACGTGTTTGACACAGCTTGTGAAACAGACTAGTGTCTGGTGCAGCAGTCGAGCTCTCGAGACGCAGTGGGAATAAGTTTAGTTTCAACAGGAAAACCATTGAAGACATTTTTAGTTTTTAATAGAGTGCCCTTAAATCCATTGGTTTATCATCATTTCCCCATTAAACTGGCAATAATTAGATGGATATCACAAGGGGGTATACCCCAATCTCAAACCCACGGAGGTAGATTGAGGTAGGTTCGCGACCTTTTGGCCGACAGCTGCACCCTGTGAATTTCAGCTCCTTACACAGGAGCTGTCTCGAGAAAAAACGAAACCGGTGGTTTGGCGGAGGCGATCTCTGAATGCCACATGCGACTGGTATATGTTACTAGGCCAGTACCATTTGGGTTTGTCTGAAAATGGGGTTTCCCAAAAACCAGGGATCATGGAAAAAAATCCGTATACCCTATTTTCAGACAGGGTCAACTATCTATCATTTTGTACATTCTAGCCAGCCCAGTGTATCTCCATGATATCCCCGTTGTATCCCCATCATTGGTGGTTATAAAACTTTCTTTGGTTAAATGCATCATTTGTAAATACACACACAGCTATCATTTCATATCATGTTCGTCGTTACATAATGTACATAAGTGCTTATATATATATATATATACACATCCCCTTGTATCCCATTATCTGGTTGTATCCCAGTACATCCCGTTGTATCCGTTATCCCATGATATCCCATTTCACACCCCATTTTCACATTGTCCCCATCAAAGCCCCATGAAAACCCCACAATGCACTGCCCCATGCTGGGGTCAACATGACTGGTCCCCGGCTTAAACATTTCCACCTGTTGAGCAGTGGCCAAAACCCCGCAGTTCCGGCGTCCGGCGTCCAGCCCTCTGTGTCTAGTTCATGATTTAAACCAGTGCAACAAATACAATGATACACAGAAACCAATGAATGCTGATCAAGAATGATGATGATGATGATGATGATGATCATAATGATAATCATAATGAAAATAACAATAATGATAATAACAATAATGATAATAACAATAATGATAATAATGATAGTCACGACAACACTGATAATCATGACAATCATGATCATAAAAAAGACACTATATGTATATGTGTAGGTATATGCATATGCAAATGCACATATATATATAGTGTATGTATGTATGTATGTATGTATGTATGCATTTATGGTACCCCCTAATTAAAGTCAATTGACACCATTCATGTTTTCCAATGGAAACCAAGGCATGCTCCCATCTGCTACTTTGAAATTCCTCACGGCAAATGCTGCGACGATTAATGGGGGTTTTGGCCACCTTCGGACCTGCCTAAGCTAATTTTGGATGACCCACTAGGAGTGATGGTGATGATCGCAACTGGGAACGAGACCCGATACAAATGGTAAGCCGTTACACTCCTTCATCATATTTCATACCCTCTGGTAATTCACATACTAGCTACTAGTAGCTATGGAAAATCCTGTATTTATTGATGATTTCTGATAATTTACTCTTAAACATTGTGATTTTCAAGTTTGCTATGTCAAATAAGCAGAGGGCAATTGGGTTAAAAAAATGCCTCTCATGCGGTAGAAGCTGGTCATCCCTTCACTTGGATAATCTCTGACTCCTTCAATTCATCAAATCATCCCGCAGGTATCAACAAATACTACACATCAACACTCAACAAATTCCATCAACACACGTATATAATTGTATAAATATAGATAGATAGATATAGATATAGATATAGATAGATATATAAAATTATATATATATATATCATCAACAAACACATCATCCAACATCACTTGGATCATCCGTCTGTGACTACATCTGCTTCGTCTGCGAGCCGACTGGAAGCGAAGCGGTATTTTGTTAGTCCCTGGCCGACATCACAGAGCCACAGCGCCAACAGAAGGTGGCATCACTGCGGTGGGGACTGGCCTTGGAGGAAGGGTTGGCTGTGTAGGTGGTTGGATTTGCCTGGAAATTGGTGGGAAAATGGTGGGAAAATGTAGTTGAATCATCTACAAATCTTGGGTCCATGTCATCCATGTTCAAATTTCCCTACTTTCCGAAGAACCTATGGTGCTTAAAAATTGCCGAGAGACTTGGCAGTTGGGACAAATGCGATGTTGCACTTCCTGCACCTTGGAGCAACAGACATGCTGAGCTCTCACGGGATTTAGCATGATTTACCCTCTGGTAAACATACAAAAAGCTATTGAAAATGACCATAGAAATAGTGGATTTTCCCATTAAAAATGGTGATTTTCCATAGCTATGTTAGTTTACCAAAGGGTAGCTATGTTTGTGACATTGCTTTGTTCTTGGGAAGCAATGGTTTTTTTTTTGGGGAGCTCTACAGACATTCCAGATCACCCTCATGGTTGTCATGCCCGGTAGATTCGCAACCATTCCAACTTGGATGGGCCATCCTGGGTGATACGCCACATGATTTCCATTTTTGAATGATGCTGAATGCCCAACAATTGGTTGACCAAATCATGCAATATTGGATCTCTGTTTCCTTGGCGGACTTCCCCGTGGTTCTGTTACTTGGCTACCCTCCTGTAATCCAAGAAAGCTGGCTAAGGATTCCCCGTCTCTTCAATGGAACATCGTGAATAAATGGATACCCAGCCAGTCTGATTTTCCACCCAGCCCGGTGGAAAATGTCCGGTTAGGGGTAGTCTGACCAGTCTGACCAGGATCAACCCCCCCAGTTTGTTCACCATTGTTTGTTGGTAAAACCACGTTGTTCGCAGCCAAGTCCCCTTTAGTTGATGGGCAAGTGAACAATTATGATTTGATGGTAAGGTCCTGATTTATTGACAGTTCACCATTCATCGCTGCTTGGCCTCAGGTTATATATTCAGATAGATTTGGAAAACAACAATGTCTAGATCATTTTCCTTCGGACACACTGTTTTCTCCATATCTATGTTGGTTTGCTGGAGGTTAATCCCTCATTATTGGATCTATCATTCTATCCTATCAATATCCCCATTATATCAGCAGTTTTATTCTCACCATCCCTATTAATGTACCATTTATGGCTGCCTAAATCCTCATTTTTGGATGCGTAAATCTCCATCCTTCTTGCGTAAAAAGGTGTAAAACCTCCCAATATTTCCATTTACGACCTAAAGCACCCCCCACAAAAAGAATTGATGCAAGTCCCACTAAGATAGTGATAGCTTGTTACTTTTCTACCGTTTCTGGGCTTCCTACATACCATCAATCTCCCGTAAATCACTGTTTTTTGTTAGTTAAGTCATGTTAAATCACTATTTTTTTGTGAGTGGTTGATTCACCATTTTTGTTGGTAAAATCCAACTAACCCCCCAACTTTTGACGGTACACATACTGCATCTTTGAGTTTCTCCCCCTGCCTGCGGTTTGTCACGTTGCTTCAGGAAGACCTGGTGTTGGGCTTGATGCTCTACCAGTACTTTCCTTCAACAACTTGGAGAAACTGGGGACATCATTCCCATCAAACATTGGGAGCTAACACTGATAAACATATTTTATTACCCGCTTTATACCAACGAAAATACGAGCACATCAGATTGAATGGGAACATGTCCATGATCCAATCAACAAAAACTGGGGTTCAAATTTCAACAAACACCAAACGGGGTTGAGCAAAAATGACTGGGCTAAACCTGAATCAAGCATCAAACATGAGGGGTCAAACTACTGTTTTTTCTGATAGATTCCACAAGAAGCCCATTGCCTCCTGTGTGGTGGTTTGGGATCAAACGTCCACAGCCCCGAACCACTACAGTCATGTCACCAACTGGGAGCAATAGGAATGAAGATGAGCATCCATTTCTTCTCGGCAAAATTTCATGCTCTCTCACTTTGATATGACCAGCATCGGTGACATGTTGATTCGACTTTTGAATCTTTTGACATCTGTATGATCACATATGAAAATGTTGGGGTGGAACATTGCGGATGTAGTCGGAACAGGTTCGAGTGGGTTGGTGGTTTGAAGCTTCAACCCATCCCCAAACATGGTTGAACCGTGGCAAATAAATGCAGATGAGTGAAACCAACAACCAGAAGAACCGGTCTGAACTGGGTACCTCAATGTTGGACACATAAGTCCTCCCAAAACTGAGCAACACTTGCGATTCCCAATGGCCATAGATTTAGTTCAAATCCTCATTGTTTCTTCCAACTGGAAAGTATGCGTCAGGTGGGATCATCATTCCATTTGTTGAATGGAACAAAACGTAATGTTTGGATTTGAAACCATCAACCATGTATGATCTTATCTTGACGAATCATTCTACGTCCATCGTCCCATTTTTTCACCCACGCCCGACGCCTCAGCCAACTTGCTGAGCTGGTAGGGGAAGACTGCCACCCCAGCCAGGATGGAAGCTGCCACTACGAAACGCCCTTCCCATGTGATGGGCGTGATATCGCCGAAACCTGTGTCACAATTAGCGCGAGGGGTGCTTGTTCATTGGGAAAATGATGAGAATCTGAATCCAATGGAATGGGGATCCCCATTTTCAGACAAAACTATATTAGAGTGCTCGACCAGGAAGTGCCCGCTGCAGGGTCCTAAAATGGATTCTCGCTTCTGCACCCTGAAAATGCAAATGGGAAGCGCGGCTTATGCAAAATCAAAAAAATAGTAAAAGGAATTGGGATCCCAACGATGGGAGGTGCCAGCGATAACCCGGGTCCCCAGATTTGTTCTTTCCTCCTCCAAAAAGTACACAGGGTATCTTAAAAGTATTTGTGATGGAAGAACGCTTACATAATCTTATATATATATCTATAGAGGTGAAACTGGGATGAAAGGTGGTACTTGTATGCTCTCGTAAGTCTATGTTTTGTCTCCCTGTGTTTTTTTCCTGATCACAAAGAGGCTTCTAGCACAAAATATGCACAAAATGGTACCTTGATGTACCTTTCAGAGGCTCTTCTGGTTGGAAAACAGATTCTGCCAGAATTCTAGATGCTTATTGAACAGTCTCTCTTGTTCTTTGCAATTTAACAGGCCACCCATTCCAAGTAAACAAAGGCGGGAAGCCCACGGTCGTCAGGGTCGTGAGCCCGAAGTACAAGGCCTGAAGTAGACGAGTTCATCGCCCCAAAATGGGCTACTTGGAATTTGACCAACAACTGGGATTTATCCATGAAAAAGACACCCTACCTATAATCGAACTTGTATCAGCAAATATAGTTCTTCTACAATAAGGATCCAAAAGGGTCATTCATCAAACACTGGTTGGTGCTTCAGGGCCGAGTCTTGGCACCAGGTTGGGACATGTTGGAGGTTTCAGCCCTTGTGACTTGGGATCATCGTCCCATTTGTTATAGGTTAAAGACATCGTTTTCCCCATCAAGATTGACATGTTGCTAGATTTTGGGGATAGATCTGTGTATATATGTATATATACATATATATACACGTATAATTATATATGTACACATACACTCCATTTTCAAACACACCACAATGGAAAATACGGTATAAAATAAACATGACTACACAGTATCAACTTTGAAGCAACCGCACGCAACAACTCTGCTTGAGGATTTTATTGCGGCCCTCAAAATCAATCGAATCAAAATCTGGTAGTGGACAATCCCTTCATAGAAACATTCAGGGGGGATTCTGGCCGGGGGCATTTGTTGAGTAAATGGCCTGAGTCTGGTTTAAGGTGGATTTGAATTTTTGATACTGTCTTGAGTCTGCGTTAAGCTACAGCTAAGCATTAGCTGAACATACGTATAACATCAGCTGAGCATCGGCTGATCATCGGCTGAGCATCGATTGAGGTGTGCAAAGATCTTTGAGGTCCAATTGAGGTAAAACACTGTATGAGGTCCGTTTGAGAAAGAATTTCTCTCTCAAAATCACCTCGATGTGTTTTTTTAATGGTTTGAGTATGTCCCGAGTAGGTTTTGATGTGGTTTCGAGTAGGTTTTGACCAGGCGCTGCCTGGGCTCGAGTAGGTTTTGAGTTCCAATACCACCGGCAAGTCCTACTCAAATGGAACTCGAAGTTGTCCCCGGTCAGATGGACCACCCTTTTCCTGACCCTTAGTTTGGTGCAGTTCTGTTGGTTTTGGGATGACCCTTAGCATATCGCCAAGGGGCTGTGAAGAAGTCTGGAAATTGTGGATTCACATCGTGTTCCGCTGCATAGATGGCCCCAGTGGCAATGTAGAGCAGGGAAAAAATCGAAAGCACGACACGCGTGACCTGGGCGCACTGATCTTGACGCAAGTTTCATCTACCGTTCAACAGTCGGTTACACAAGGGACAGTGTTGAAAAGTGGCAACTTGCTCTTGAACCGAACCTGGTCTTCCCATGTCTTTGACATCATAAATCATCCCTTGAGACAAAAAGGATGAACATGGGTTGTCTCCTGAAGCTTCTTCCAGGATGGGTATGCTCAGTTTTTTGTGCACGAAACCATGTGGGTCGATGATTTGCACGAAAAACATCACCTCCCACAGCTGGTAGCAACGTTCATGACAGATCAAACAGGCAGGTAAAACATTGCATAAGAGTGAGTTCTATGCCGATGCAAAGTCTGAACTGAGCAATTTTCAGTCATTTGGGATCATTTGGGTCTGTCATGGTCTGTCTAAAAATGATGTGTATCATTGGATTATCACATACTTTTCCAAAGTTGTGTCTAAAATGGGTATCACATGGGTATCACATGGGTATCAATGGGTATCAAATATGTATCCAAACAATGGGTATCACTGGGTCAAATGATCTACGCCTGTGGATTCCCCTAAGGCCCTCCGAGCGCCTCCAGCAGAACAGGTGTGACATAGGATTTGTCGATGCCCAACCCTTGCGTCAGAATGAGGAAACCATCCTCAGAAAGGCCATGCCAATCAGCCGATCTGATATTATAGCAACTCCAAAAAGGATAGACCCGACATTTATCACCATTTAAGTGGTATTTTACACTTTTCTATATTTTTGCGGATTCATGTATAACTTTATGTAAGTTTATATAACTTTACATAACTGATATTAACTGAGATTAACTGATCTTGCATGATATTAGCTGATGTTGTGTTAACCAATAACTGATCTGATGCTTTGGGGCCTGGTGTTGGACTCCTGGAACCACCAGCCAGAACGACTGAAACAGCAAGTTGAAGCGGAAGAATGAAACATGGCATGTGGGGGTTTCCTAAGTCATAGGGCTACCCCCAAAGATCCCCAGATCATCTATTTATAGATGGATTTTCCAGGAAATAAACCATCCAGCTATTGGGGTACCCACCATGACCATGGAGACCTCCAGATCATCCGATGGAACGTTTCACCCGTTCCAAGTCGTCAGACCCAAAGGGCTCAGTTGAACAAGACGTGATGCTATAAAATAGAAGCAACTATACTAGTTACTAATAACATCTAATAACTATATAGTACTCGTGAATTACCAAACAAACATAAAACATGTTGACTCAAGATTGTAACTGGAAACCGAAACGCATGATTTTTGAAATGTCTTGAAGTATCCTGACAGCCTTGAGAGACATACCCACTCACATGTACATAAAGGCCAAGCAAATTAGTGGTAAAGAACTTGGACCATTGGACAGGAAGGGGAGAGAACACTCTATTCCGCTGGCCGCAAAAAAAAACATTGAGGACAAAGGCGGGCATCGCCAAACATTTCAGGACACTTAAACGATCTTAAACCTAGGTTTCTCCAACAATCTCCAACATATTTCCCATCCCTTTGAGTTCTGAAAACGAACACGGACCCCAAACATCGGCTCCGAAGATTTCGGATGGACATCGGGATTTGTTCCGAGGGTCGTAGTCTGCCAGAAAGCGCTGCAATCTGAAGACCCGCAGTAGTCTGAAAGCAGCAACCAACGGCGCAGTCTTTGGGAAGTCAGCTATGGAGATCAAGATGGGCAAGAAGGAAATGATATCCTGAAGCAGTTGGGGAAAAGAACCATCGAGATGCTATGCTCTCTGATAATCCAAGAGGAAATCCCAACCAAAATCGTGGCATTATCCTATTGAAGCCTGGGATTTTCCACCATTTTCCTCAGTGCTTGTTTACCTGCAAGCCAATCCTACCGTCAGAAGGATCATTTGCAAATACATCGATGTTTGGTATCGCCCCCGACGACTTAGCCATTGGCCAACTTGCTAAATGGAGAATGTTTCAAAACATCCCCTGGGCGCCGTCGACAAGGATCAATGATCACGAGCGGCTTCAAGATGTAGGTTGGACGTAAAGATCGCGAATACCACCGGAGAAGAAACTCAACAAAAAACACCTGGGCTGGCCTGCTGCGAACCTTGTGAAAGGTGAGCAGCCTCTTCATCATGGACTCCATGATTCATGGATATCTTTATTCCCCTTCTTGCGCGCTCTTTCGACTAATATATTTATTTCATTCGAAGCTAATTACCACAGTTTCATTGGATATATTGTCACTATGTACCAGCTGTAGATATATTTCTCATTATATATTTCTCTTGGGTTTTTGGTTAACCCCCAACGTTCTATTTTAGCTAACTCACAAACTAGCATCAATAAAGAGTATGCGACTTGCTGCTTCTGCTCCCACACATTGCCGGTTTCGTACCGTCTTGATCAGCCAAATCCCTATTGGTTTCGTGCCAAATAGCAAATGTGGTACGGTAGTCCTCTTACTTTTCACGTTCCATGGAACCCATGTTTGGCTGAAGTTAGATTCGATATGAATCCATCACATTCATGATCTCTTCCAAGATATCCCATGTCTTTTGGGTCAACACTCCATATATCTTCCTGCCAGGTGGCAACACAAATGGTGTTTTCCAAGCCATCCAGCAATGCTCTGAGGTCTTGAAAGCCTGGCTCTGCCAGGAATGGTAAGGTGGCCACAGCTGTGATGAAGGACGACATCAACACCTGGAGCATCGTTGAAGGTCGTTGAACGACTGGGATCTCAAGCGAAATGGCGCTCATATGGAGGTGGTTGATAACATGGAAGAACCCAAGGTATCATCCAGGTTATCATTCTTCATGGGGATATCTTAACTTTAAGAAACACCCGTAGTACGTAGAACGTATTGATTAGCCGGGGTTTGGGGGTTTGGGGGTTTGGGGGGTTTGGGATTGAACCAACCAGCGCGGGAATTCATCTCTTTCAAGAAAAGCCAAAACGTGAATGCGTGAAGTTTTCCAGTAAAAAGATCAACAAACTTTATTAAGCTAATGCAGCTGATTGAATTTGGCCGTTGAGCAACCCATCACAAATATGATTCGTTTGGGACTCATATCATATCAACATATATCAACCATCCGACGGTTAAAAAGTACCGGGTGAAACCAAAGCGCAAAGCGCTCATAAATTGGACAAATCATCCTCCGAATGCCTAAACAACTTGTGCGCATGGCTATGGGTCAAAGTCGTCAGAGCTTATGGCACCGCTTCAATCATTTCCATGTCATTTCCATGTCATCTCCATGTCATTTCCATATCTTCCCGTCAGTTTGAAGGGGCGACGTTTGACCCATAGCCACAGCCGAAGACTTTTCGTCCAGTCGACACAACCGACCACCAACAGCTCCACCGGAGGAAAGTCCAGGAATTCTTCGCCTGTCGTGGCAGCAAGATCATCTTAATTCAACTAATGTTACCAACTTCTATCAACTGCTACAGTATCAACTACAGCAAAAAACCATTGCATTGCCAGTTATAGTATGTTATAGTAACCAATCAACCAGGCGTTTGGCCTGCGTTTGGGTCTCTTTTTCACTGCTTGGGTCTCTATCGCAACAGTTCGAAATAAAATCACTGGCATGTTGATAGGCTAATGATCCAACGGATGCCAGGGAAGACCCGAAGAAGCTGAGGCCATCTCTGGGATTGATCAAATGAGACTCAGTCATGGCTGTACCCCCAAAAATGCATGTTTGTTTTTCTTAAAGCACACGCATATATTTGGCACACTTTACAGCCACAGCGTTCTCATGTCATGCTGCTGGCACAATCAACACATAGACACAGACCAACAATGACCAACATCTGAAAAGAGCGGATTGCTATATTGACAGGCTTGGGGTTTATTTTTTTTTCAAGAATCTTTGTTATTGCTTGGATCATCAGAACATTCCTTGGATGGTTGATATATGTTGATATCACATTGCCATCACCAAAAACAAAAAAATGAAAGACCACCAGCCAAAAGCAGCTAAGTCACAATCAATGGCATATGGCAAGGGCGGCCAGGGAGCGGGCTTCGCCTGGGCTGGACACCGGACCGTAGGTGGAACCCCGAATGGCAATCGATGGACTGCTTAAAGATATTAATGTGGGTAAAACAATGTCATCAACCACCCATTTGGGAATAGTTTATAGGACCTATTTATGGTGATTTGGGGGATGTTTTATTGTTGTTTTACCCACATCATAATCATTATACAGAATCTATCGTATGTTATTCTACGTCCTGGTTGGTCAATTATCCTTGTCCACTAAACATTAAAGTCCTGAGTGGTAAAGCCAATTTCGTAAACCATCCCCAAGTCATCACCATTTTCATGGCTATTTCATAGGGGATGATGGTGGGATTGCTGAGACTGCACCGACGAGCTCAACTCCGAAGCAAGCTGCTCGACTCACGAAGTTGGGATTTCCAAAGCCCCACACGCCCGAGGTTGGGCTGGAGCTTGGGGCACTGGCCATAGGGTCACTGGGACTTTCGTCAAGGGCTGTAGCCAATTCCTTCCTGGCTACCAGAGTCGACCGGTTGAGAATCAACCACTGATGTCGATGGCTTAATTGGGATGTCAGGCATAAACAAAGCAAATATCTGCCAATATAATTAGTGGTTCAGAAAGCTTGTAGAAATGAGGAATGAAGTCCCATCATCTGGTGAATTCAATGAAGATGCTCGGAACCCTTCAATATTCTATACATTCTATGGATCCGTTGAAGGGAACAATTAAGCACAGGAAACTCAAGAATCGACCTGCGCAAATACGTATATATTATATTATATTATATTATAGTATATTATATAATATATAATATATAATATATAATATATAATATATAATATATAATATATAATATATCATATATAATATATATTATATATTATATATTATATATTATATATTATATATTATATTAATATATATATATTATATATTATATATTATAATATATTATATTTTATTATATTATATTAAATTATATTATATTATAGTATATTATATATTATATAATATATAATATATAATATATAATCTATAATATATAATATTATATATTATATATTATATATTATATTAATATATATTATATTAATATATATTATATATTATATATTATAATATATTATATTTTATTATATTATATTAAATTATATTATATAATAAAACATTATATTATATAATATAACATTATATTATATTATATTATATAACATTATATTATATTATATAACATTATATTATATTATATTATATTATATCATATTATATTATATATACATTAGATTATATTTGTACAACTATATGATAATATATGTATATATTATTGGGTGTGTGAACGAGACCCATATGATATCCGGAAAGCTGGGAAACGGCAAAGATGCCGTTTTGTGTTCTTGGTAATAGTTGATCATTGATAATCATGAATCAACGTCCATCAAGTCATTTGAAACCGCCAACTGCAGGAGATAGCAATATAGGGGCACACATTCAAATATGGATGTGGTCACCCCGAAACATATCCAAACATATCCAAACACTACATGAGAGTGATGCGAACATGTGTCCTCATAGCCCGCCGAACATGTGCTGAAGGCCCTTAGGCTGCTATGTATTTTTTTCCAGCGAAGTTATTCCCAACCACAACTCTTGGCAAACAAAAAAATGTTCACACACACACATAATTTTTTCCGGTACCTTCAACCCATCCAAAAGGATGTACCCTCTGGTAATTTAACATAGCTATTGAAAATGGCCATAGAAATAGTGGATTTTCCCATTAAAAATGGTGGATCTTTCCATAGCAAACCGTTAGTTTACCAGAGGGTATTTCAATTGGGACCATCATCCAACTTCATTGACCGTTTTTTGTCTAATGGCTCCAGGATCTCAGGTGGCGTTGGAAACCACAAACCAGCTTGGGAAGCCCGTAAAAAAGCCTTAAGAAATCCCTATTGAAAATCAGCCCATCCCGAATCCCGAACAACTCCCTAAGAATTCCCTAAGAGATCTTGAAAAATCTCCACCCAAAAAAACACAAAAAAAACCCAAGGTCCGAGCTTCACATCTTTCACTGGCTCTTTCACCTTTACCGCATGACACCGGGACCGACCGGACCGAGCTCGGTTGGCCCCGTAGCGTTGCCAGGCTCGGCACAGGGGAACGGCCAGGAGCCCTGGAAGGCACCAGCTGCAGCATGGTCCCGAGGACCGTTGCGTGGGAGGCAACGCTTGCCTCACGTAGTGGAAAGTCAGGGAGTAAAATCGAAAGTTTGGGATGCCTGGAAAAAAAAATGAAACGTAGAAGCAATACACTTTCATGATCTATCTGTTGTCACTTCAGTAGTTTCATCCAACAAAGACTAGTAACATTAACTACAGTATAGAAATGGTGTTGTCCAAAAAAACATAGCTTTCGAGTCCAAGTAACCTGGAAAATTGGCTCCTCGATCCAATGGATCTCTCCCTAGCCGGCTGAGCCGGAGCGAGCTCCATTGGGGGCCAGAGGATGACTCTCGCTTTGGAGGGTCCAGTGTCTGTCAGCTGCGAGCCCCAAATTGGGTCGGGATTGAGCAATGACCGAGCACAGAAATGTTGGTCATCATATATGGATGTGTCCGAAAACAGGGCACCCAAAATTATGGTCTTGAACATCATTTCATATCATTTCCAGATTGTATGGCTTTAAAACTTTAAAAGGATGCCTAACTATTTTGATTCATCATGATCTCATTCGTTGGTTTGAACATGATCATGTTTGAAACCAGCAGCCAGGTCTTGTGCATGTCATCGTGGAGGATACACAAAATCCATCAAAATCCATGAAAATCCATCAAAATCCATAAAATCCCGTCTCATTTCACTCAAGGTTGAGTCACATGTTGTATAAATCATCTATGTCCAAGGGATCCTCGGCAGCGCCAAGATTGACCCAAGCTGTGATTATTTTGACAAGGACAAATTGGTTTGTCCAAACATGTGGCACCCGATACTCAAACATACCCAACATTACCCAACTATCGTATTGTATGTATTTGTTGGCTATATGTTTCTCCAACCATATTCCCATAAAATATGGAAGTCTTACACCATCATGTTAGTTACTTACATCTTCATCGCTGAATTACATCCACTGGCAGATGATTTTTTAGTGGTATGTAATGGGAATACAGCCATATACACTCCCATGTCGCAGAACATCTCCAAGTCTTCATGGCTGAGCCCCGAGACGTTTCTCATTGGGCTCGGCAGTGGGGCCCCCATTTTCTGCCTCCTTCATGCAGCCCTTGTGGTAGGACGATGGGGCAAGTAGCATTGCCAATCTCAGATGGGTCCCTGCAAAAACAACCAAAACAGCGAAAAAGACATAAAACACGTCGTTAAACAACTATGTGCCACCGGTGTCTTTAAACGTGGCTAGCTACAATATGCTACAATAAATCCCCTACAAATCGTGTTTTCAGACGTGTTTATGGGAACATCATCGAACTACATGGGGAATTGTCCAGCTAGCCATGCTTGATTACCAGAGGGTAATGTAGCTTGTCGATTGAGTATCCTTCCAGTTGGTGGGCCCAAAGAGGGATCGTATCCCATGTCAGTGGATATTACATGGCTAAATGGGCTGATTGTTATATTCCCACCATTACAGCAAGAACTCGAAGCTTCAACACCAAAGACAAGTGCTTTTGGAAAGCTTTGGCAAAACAAAGTCAGATCTACATACGCCGCATAAGCTTATTTCTTTTCTGAGCCGCAGAGGAATATAATTGGCATAATCCCCAGTGGACGTAACGACACTGGTCGTCTCCTCTGAAAAATAGAAGAAGGCGAGGTTGGGCTGCACCTCGTTCCTTGGAAAACCAGGGCATTGAAGTAATTACCAGGGGGGCCAGAACTTCAACATCGGTGATCTATCGGAGATCCAACTTCTGCTCACGAACTTGTATGGTCGGTGATGGGGTCAAACTGCCACTGGCCAGCAAGTGACAAAGACCACGTCTGTTCGATTTTAAGGGTGAAGCGGTTTGTTGTTTAGCTCCACAACCAAAATCAGCAAACAAGTCCGAAGCAACTTTGCACACCCTGGATACCATTAAACCATATATATTGAGCCCACATAAACGTGATTTTCTTCTACGCAGTAAGTACAGTACTATGGTCCTTCAAACCTTCGAGCAACATTGGCGTTCCTAAATATGACTACCCACCGAAGTTTGACACGGACCGGGAAAAAACAATCTTGGGTCCCGAGTAGAAAAAAACAATTGGAGGATCTGAAAAACAACATTACCAGTCAAACATAGGGATATAACATGATACAATATGATACAATATGATGTAACAGGGAGTGTCAAATCATTAAAATCCGCCACCAGTGAGGGAACTATCTGCAGCATCCAGGCGATCTCGGCAGTCCCTGCAGCTTCCGGTTACGCAAGCTGCGCCAAGTGTCATCAAGTTGAAGGTTAAAGCCCTTGTCTCCTGACGGGAGGCTGTGGCTTCGCTGTCGAAAGTGGGTCAAACTTTCAAACTGGGGGATTCCAACATTGGGACGGTTTCTGCAACAAAAACCTCAGCAACACCAGTGGTTTTTGGGTCCTTGGGTCCTGAATAGCAATCCAATCCATCGAAGATATATGGATGAATGATGATTGATCAAAATTTTGATGTCATTTTCATCAAGATCCAAAACTCGCTCCAGACAGCACATTCCAATCCATTCTTCATGCAAACATGCGACGCCCCAATTTTTTCTTCCCACGTGGCCCCCGCCTTCGTGACGAGCAACACAAATTCCACCTGGGGCAAAGCCACGATGACATTCTTCAGCGTTGGCAAATGCTTCTTCCTCGTGCACGACATGGACATGGATTCATTGGATTGGTGAGATTGGAACATGTAGCATAGTTGATGGGAAAAGCCAATAGTGATGTAATGAATATGTAATGTATTAATATGTATTATACAATCCATTAACCATCCATATACATCCAATAATATGTGCCCTCCATAGTTGATGGGACAACACATGGTTTCGGATATAGATTTTCCCTTGAACCTACCCTTTGTGCTGGTTGGTTGATAGGGGGGAATCCTCATTAAAACATGTGGTTTTTACCCAATTTCGAAAAAAACAATCCCCAAGTCATCACCATTTTTATGGGTATAGGCGCCAAAATTGGAGGTTTATGGCAGGTTTACCACACTAACATCCATCAGGGTTTTGGTCAGTGACCGCGCCGGAGGTGCCATCATAAAAAAAAGCATCGTAGATCGAGCTGTCATCCTCCATATTCATCCATTCGCAGGGAAAATCTTCAGGAACCACCCATCACCCCATAAATATATATATATACAGAATTATATGTAATGTAATATTATATGTAATTATCTGTAATTATATGTTATTATATGTAATTACATATATAAATAAATAGATATATAAGTATATATATATATAATTATATAAAATTATATTGGATGATATGGGAATAAAACTGCGATGGATTTCCTGCAACTTGGCCCCTTGGGATCCCTTGGGCATCCGGCAGCTGCGAGCTGTTCACGCCGTTGGCGCGCGTGGGGCAGAGGTAGACCCGAAGGAAACCATAGTCCTGGCGTCACCGTTGTGGACGTTGTGGACTTGCTTTAAGGTATAAGTTGGACCGACAGAAAAACGACAAGAAGCGCACGTCATATTCCCATAAATTCCCTGTATGTATATATATATATACATATCTACACATATAACATATATATGTCTAATTAATTATGTATGTATACACATACTTGGACTTAGATTCTCTTCAAAGCGTGGATTTTCCAGAGACAGACAGATGCGTTTAAAAAATACACGTAGATATGATATGGGTTTGTCGGAAAACCCAGACAGAAACCCAATGGGTGGTGGTGCCACTGAGGCTGAGATGTTGAACGAGTATGGGACTTATAGCAAGAAGTTTTGTTCACCTATACCATTCCTAGACCTTCCTTTGGTACAGAAACACGTGTTCAATTAGTTTTGGTACGCAAAACATAGATAACCAAGAAATCGAGCACCTTTTTCTTTAGGTTCATGGTTTTTCATTTGTTCGCCGATTTGCTCCTTTGGTATGGTGTTGAAACGCACTTTGCGAGACATGTTGGGTTTACAATTCAAGTTTTCTGACAAGGAACTGTTTACCAACATGCTGTAACATGCCCTTGAAAGATGCATGGGCTGACGCTGACATGATAAGTATGTATACATACATCCTAGATCATCCCCAAACGAGAGTCCCTGACTCATGGCAAGCAATCATAAAGGGTCTTCCCGGATGAGCTGATGCTGGAGGTTTACAATTCGATGGTTCGTCGGTAAGTATAGCTGCACCATTATGACCTTGTACTGGATGGCTGCATGTTGCTAACTTGCAACTTCCGTGAGCTAAAACCAAAACCTGTTCAATTGGATGTCTTCCTTTAGCAACTTTTTGACAACTTTGCTTCAACTTTGCTTTGCCTCATATCACGTGGATGGAACCGGACAGTCCATCTTTGCATCGCATGACAGTTTGGTGATTAAAATGATCATGCATTAATTGCATGCATGAACCAATCATGAACTCCATGCATGGAAGCTGATGACACCCATGACACTGCAGCACTTCTCGGACAGAAGCATCTATCGATCATGCATCCCCATGAAAAGACATTGAACCAACCATAAACTTTAGAGGTTCTTGGACATACATGTCTGTTATATATGTACATGGCATATAATATTTTCACATATTTTCACACATTTTCCATCTTTATATCATATGCAACATCTACCATCTGTTCGGATCTGGGACATTTCTGTTGGATGACCCCTGACATCTACCCTCTGGTAATTTGTGACAGTTTGCTATTGAAAATGGCCATAGAAATAGTTGATTTATCCATTAAAAATGGTGATTTTCCATAGTTATGTTAGTTTACCGGGTAATATTTTGTAGGAACATTCGCATATTTCCTAAAGCAGACTAGTACTAGTTTGGCCACTGATGATTTCACTAACCATCATCTATGGTGAGGTCGAATGGGGTCGCTACAATTTACCCAGAAGCATACCAAACATCACTGAGGAATCATGACCCACCGCTGGTCTGTCTAATTGACCCGTCCTCCCACAAGGTTCGCACCAATGAGGCGTCGCCCTTCAACACATCCACGCAATATTCGCCTGCCGGCGTAGCTTGGGAACCGCCGGCCGATGTTGCGGCAAAAGCAGGCCGATTTTGCAACATGCCCAATCATCATGTTGCAAAATCATACTTTTCTTCAGATGAAACAGAACAACACATCTGAATTTCTGAATCGTAATGTCGCTTAAAATGTTGCTGACTTTCAATCCCATCTTATCCCAGCTTTCCACATCCAAAGACCAGGGCCACCCAGCTGACGCCTCCCAAATGAGCCGCAAAATGGATAGGGGCGAACTTTCCCGTTTGTTGCCGTCTGTCGATCCTAGGTCGCTGATGGCCCGCTGAGTTGGCTTAAACTCAGCATGAGTCGTTCAGTTTCCCATTCCATCCGGGATCCGCAGTTGACCCCTAAATCCATCTGGGTTTATGATTGAAACCTATTGATAATTGAAACCTATTAATACATATTGATACATATTGAAACTACTAATTGCAACTGGAACACCTCGCAGCAAAATCACAAAAGATCTCCTGGGTTCACACACTCCTCCTGCAACATTCGCAACCATTGCAGTGATGCCTGGCAATCCAAGCTGGACTGTCATTTCAGTACCCCAGATCATCCACTAAATGATTATGACTTAGTATTGAAACCATACTTTTGGGGATCCTTTGGGGATCTCCTATGACTTAAGAAACCCTCTACCATCAATATTTTTACCCAATCTTTGGGCCGTTGATCTCAGACCACCATTTTTTAGTGTGAAACCGGCTGACAAAACAAAGGAATGTAGCGCTTGTTTGTTCCACGTTACTTGCAAACTTGATTGATCCTCAATTTGGACTGATCATGGCATATCATATACCACATACATCACATATCACAGATATTATACCATCATGTATCATATCACTATGATACACGTCCACATGATCAATATCCTACTTTGATCCCATAGTTTTCCGTAGCAACATCCCACAACAAGCCCAGGTCACATAGCGGGGCTCTCGCCCTTGCTTCTCTGCGCGGAAGTTCACCCCCCACCTGGGGATGGCTCGAGGGGTGGATGCCCAAAGATGCCAACAATGGATATTCAGTTATACATATATTAATATATACATATAATATATACATATAATATATACATATAATATATACATATAATATATACATATGATATATACATATAATATATACATATAATGTATACATATAATATATACATATAATATATACATATAATATATACATATAATATATACATATAATATATAGACATATATATAATACATATATATATATAATACATATTGATATAATATCCTACAGTATGACAAATGAGATATTTAGATATACTTAGGCATTTTTTCTTACACATTAATATATTATATATAATATCCATACACTACACACATATATGTACAATATGTATAGGTATATGTATATGTCTATATATCTATATAAATAGCTGATAACTAGTGACTCACAACATAATCCAATGTATAATACAATGTATCACTTGTAAAGGAGATAGCCAGTACGCATGGGGTCACATCGCTAGACATCGCTACATGATCGTAGTACATTACACCTATCAAACCGGATGGATTCAAGCAGCAAGAACAACAGCCTGGTAGGCACAACACGATGACCCAATATGAATGCCGGACAATCGGCAATCTCCTCCAGGTTTCAAGCAATGAAGGGCACTTGAAATTCTTCCGAATGAGTCGAGTGAAGGATACGAATCTCGCCCATTTTCAGCTGTGGGAGCTGAGATCAGTCCAATTCGCAGCTGATACCACGACCAGAAAGGTCGTCAATTACAATATCACACAGCAGGATGACGTGTAGTCAACCCTCCGGATATTACCATCTGTCAAGGATCGGATTTTGACTGCTTGTGCAAATCCCAGTAAACAATTCCAAACATGACCACGGCATATATATAGATAGATAGATACACACTTCAATCCATCTCAACATACGAGTATCAAACTGTTGTGATGTATCATCCCTAGTAGGGCTGGAAAGTCTCGAAAACGAAAACAATGCACGTTTTATCAAACATTAAAGACCAAACCACAATCAGTTTGACATGTTTTGAAAGATTGGAAACCCCCAATCGGAGCATTGGTTTCAAGGAAGATCTAAAGGACACCCGAAGCAATTTGGGAGTTTAAACACGTGTTTCAGGTTAAGATTCTCTCAACAACACCAATCAATCCAATTGAATATCATATATACAGTATTTCTTGGTTAAGTTCCCAATCTTGATGGTTGAATCATGTTGAATCATGTTGAATCATGTTGAATCATGTTGAATCCACAAATTTGGTGGTTGCATTTCATACTTATCATACTTGATAGTTCAATCAGTTCAATCCCCGAAACCAACCAGATCTCCGCTTCAAGTGGCTCAACGAAAGCAAACTCCTGCGAGATGTCGCAGAGCGTCCGTGGGGAGACAGTGTCATCCACACCGCTGAGCGACCTGAGTGAGCCCTGCAACATCCGTTGGGGATTTTACCTCCGGTTTTTACGGTGGGATTTGGGGATTTCAATGGATTTCAAATGGATTTCACCCAACATGGAGATTTTTCACCAGAATTCGGGTTTGAATAATGATAGAAGAATATGGGATATGGGGCAGATGGGTATTTCACCTGTCCATACAGGATTTAACTATCAACAATTGATTGACCATATTATTCATGATTCACTGGGATTCGGAACCCACAAAAATGGTAATGTTTGTCAACCATGATGGAGATGTAATGTCATACAGTGGGATACATTTCAGCCAACAATAAAGGGGGGTTTAAGGATTTCATCAAAATTTCACCATCCAACATGGGGATCTAACCATATTTTGTTGTAAACCAAGAATAAATCAAGATTTATCTTTATCATGTTTTATCTATATAATGCAAAATCATTGGATGGGTGTCCAAAAACGGGGGATGCCAATTTCATGGGGAAACCGATGAGTGACTGTGGGTATACATTTTTGCAGCTGCTGTCCTACTGCATTTTTGTTGGGTGATCTGCCTAAACGAATCAAGTTGCAAAACAAAGGTTGATCCTGTGCCTGGAATATGCTAAGCGGAAATTTCACCACTAATCAATCCTTCCTAGAGCCAATTGGGTAGATACACCCCTTTCAAAAGCGCTCAATGTGGGATATAAGATTCCTCCAGGTCGCCCAGAACTGGGGTAGAAAGTCATGGCGGCCCCGGGCCACTCAGGTCCGGGCAAGAAACTGAGCTCAAAGCCTCTGAGCGGATCTCCTTCCTCGTCACATGGACTTGAAACGACAAATTTGAGATATCACAGGTATTCAAAGGTCACACAACCGCTTTGACTCATTTTCCCCCCGTATGGTTATGTATTGGTTTAGTATTCCGGGAGCAGCCCTGAAACCATTGGCTCTAAGTGGGCAAACTAACTATTACTTTCAGCTAGGGCAATTTGCAAAGATTAGTCAGTGGACTGGTTGTACTGGTTGGATTGATAAATCCCCATATATATATGCATATATAACCATTAACCACAATTAATCAGCATTAAACATTATTGACCATTGTTAACGACTATTAACAATTACAGGTCACTATTCATTAAACCTTACTTACCATTGACCATTAACCATCATTAACCATTATTAAATAATGCTATTATTAACCATTATTAACCATCATTATTCAACCAATGTCAACATCATGAAACCCTCCCCCGTTTTGTTTTCATAAGGCAACTCACTTCCAGAAGCTCCTCCAAAGGCGAGCTGGGCCCAGATTTGCCTTCGGAGATGCTTGGACGGTGTATGAAATATGTACAACCATTATATTGTGTACATATATATATATATATATCATATGTATATATATATATAAATTGTATCTATATCTATATTTATATTATATTTTGTATATATATATATAACTATATATATATAGTATACTGTCTGACTAAGAGTAATTCACTCATCTGAAAATAATAGAATGTCTGAAATGTTTCAGGCCATTAGGGGAAGATTCGATGAGTCCCTTTACTAATCATCATTCCAGTGACGTCTTTTAGAGCCCAACAAGACATGAATAGCGACATGACGTCGCCAAACCCTCTCCACAGATTGTTCATGGCTTTCGGTAGCCCATGTCCATTCATGGCCTGTCGATCACTTGTCCAGTTGGATAGTTCAATGTGCTTCTATCCGAAGAAAAAACATTGACTCAGAGAACAGTCACTTTATCTTCGCAAAAATGGTCAAGAATCATCTAGAATCTAGAAAAGTAACATGGCAATAACATCCACTTTCGTTGAAGATGAATCATCTGGGTCTGAAAATACGGTGTACCCCAAACCCACTGGTTATTTCACCATTAAAACATCAATTAAAATATATTGGAATTGTTGTACATTGAAGTAAATATCAAATTTGCAGACAGACCCTATATTTCAAGGTGAATACTCTATAAACTCCCATTGATATTCCCATGATACTAGTAGCCCCCATTACGCCAGGTTGAGGTCCACCAGTCATCAGATGTCACCGGGGCCTCCACTCGCCGTGGCACCACCAGCGGTAGCTGTGCCACCAGTCCCCTTTGGTCGTGGGTAGGCGCTGAACCAGGCACGCGCCTGCATGGGGCGGAGCTTCTCTACTGTAGCTGAGTAACGTTGATGGTGCTAACCCCCGCAAGTTGGGATATAACCCCCATAACTATGGTTATATATATATATACACATCATATATATATATATAGTTATGTATATATATATATATACATAGATATTATACATGTATCCACTTATAACTAAAACTGCACGCCCAAGTACGTTTATGAAGCCAGGTACAACTGAAGTACATCATGTATATATAATATAATATATAAAATATATATACATAAAATATAATATATAATACTATAGTATATGTTATATATATATATAATTATATATATATAATGTAAAGAACACATATTGACATATAAGGCAACTGGAAATGCGTGGAAATTGGCCACGTGAAAGACAACAGGCTTTTATTCTCGGTTCAGGGGCCTTTTTCACAGGTCTTCAGCATATAAAGAGATGCACAACATGGACATCGAGAAGCGATGATGGAGATAACACACACACATACCAAATGCCAGCCACGCTACCAATCGACGCCCAGCGGTTTCGTTTCTTTTTTGAGGGTTCAAGACCGCAGTCGCTGCAGCAGAAATGCCAAGAGCATAGATGACTTGGGAAAATGAGCTTGTCCACCCATGCTACAATCAACGTCTGAATCGGCTAACTTGTGGAAAGACCACGTCTGGATTTGGATCTCTGGCATTCCTCCAGCTTAAAGAATTTCCCTGCCGGCGCCACTTGGCGCCATGACCTATGCAGGTGTACTACGCATCCATACGCGTGTAGAAGGGACCACAAGAAAGGTATCATCTCAACGAAATTTCCAGGAATCTCACAAGCAACCAGTCATATTCATTTTTTTGCATCCACTATCCATTGCTCAGCTCAAATTCAGTGTGGATCTAGGTTGTATACCCTCTGGTTATTCAACATAGCTATGGAAAATAACCCATTTACAGATGATTTATGATGATTTACCTATTCGAAATGATGATTTTTCCAGTTCGCTACGTAAATTATCCAGAGTGTAACAACTTTTTTGGTGTGAAGCCCGACCACATGGCTTTGGACACAACCATGGTTGGCTTCCGTCTGGTTGTCTTAAGCTCAATCATGCTGCGACCATCTCCTCACCAGCATACCTCGTGGTGTTGCTCCAGACACCGCAGGTACAAGGACAGTAAATTGAGTATAAATATAGAGGTAAAACATGGTAAAACGAGCAATTTATCCCTTGTACTTGTGGCTATCATTTACATTGAGTTGAAGCAACCCTGCAAATTCGGATGTGGATGTTTATCAATCATTTCATGTGATTCAACCAAGGAAGTGATATGTCTACCCAACCATTTTGTGGAATATTTTGCGGGATATTCATGGGATATGACCAACAACATGGGATGATAAGGTAGATGCCACTGTCCAGAAATGTGTGTTTCTAGCAAGTTTAATTGGGAAATGATGATCATCCACTGGATTTTCAGGGACCATATTTTCGACAAATCCACCAGGGTTTCCTTGGCGAGTGAACTCAATTCACTGACAATTCTTAGTCCCTGTGAATCACGATCCAGGCAGGGAATGGGAGGGATGGATAGAACTTCGAAAAACATCTACCAAGCTTCGGACTACTTGCCCAGAAAAGTCAACGAGTAGTTTTAGTGAGATTACAAATAACAAATCCACTGTTGGCTCTCAAACTCCCGGATCTTTCGGTTAGATCTTTTTGATAGAGCAACCAAGGGTTCAATTTTTCCATTTTATTGGTACATACCATCCCTCTGGGCTTGAGTACCCATGGGTCACTTCAAACTTGTATGGTTGTTTGGTTCTCTGTTGATTTCGCTTGATTGATCTCTGCCTCGAAAAACTGCCAGAATGTCATTGCAGGTCCAAGTGCCCACAGACGATCAGCACCCAACACAGCAACACAGGAGAACAAACAAGGATACACAGAAAACAATTGTTCTCTCCCGTAAACTGACATAGATATGTAGAAAAACCGCTATGTCTAGATCATTGTCCGAACGGGAAACCATAGGTTTTCCACATCAACCGTTTACCCTAACTGCGCCAAAACTGATAGGAATTCCACCGGTGAAGCCCCTCACCCGTCATATGCCCATGTGGATTTTGTCTTTTTCAAGCCTTCTGACGGCTCACATCGGCAACACTGGCAACAGTGGCCACCGGATTTTCACGGCATATTGGTGCTAAGAGATCACCCTCAGGCAAGATGAGTCGAAGATTCTGAAGGTTGACCTTCAATTCCCGTGCAATCCTTTGGTGAGTATTCCAGGCCAAATCCGACGCACTTGCATTTAAGCGTAACACTTCTTGTGCGGCCAAACTCGAGCATGTCACTATGATTTCATCATCCTCACAAACAAAGTTGAGTTGCAAAACCAGGTCTGTGCCACGCGGCATGAGATTGCCAATATAACGAATTCCAGGCTCTGGTACTGGAATTTGGCACCGTCCATCATAGTCGGTTCCGCAAGGAAGAACGCAGCCATCACTTCGGAGGAGCACCGTGTAATTTGCGCCTGCAGACACCTGGATGTATGTTTTTTCATCAGGCAAAGCTGGAATATTGCACTGTCCTTCATCATTTTGTCCACACGCAACGGCCTGGCCGTCGTTTCGCAGAAGCACAGTGTGAGCATGGCCTGCAGAAACCTGGGTGTAGAACATACCTGTACCCAAGGGTGGAATTTGACGGGGTCTTCCGCAAGTAACAGCAGTTCCATCACTTCTCAGAAGCACTGTGTAAGCATATCCAGCTGCAACCTGGATGTATACTATTCCCGCATCCAAAGCTGGAATGTTGCATTCTCCATCACGATTACTTCCACAGGCAACAGCAGTTCCATCACTTCTAAGAAGCACAGTGTGAAGCAAACCTGCAGAAACATGGATGTATGCTGATCCCTCGTCTAAAGGTGGTATATCACACTGTCCCTTTTCTTTGGCTCCACAAGCTACCGCCTGGCCATCACTTCGGAGAAGCACCGTATGACAACCCCCGGCTGAAATCTGGGTGTATGACATGCCTTCATCCAAAGGTGGAATGTTGCATTGTCCAAATTCATTGTATCCACAAGCGAGAGCAGCACCATCGCTCCGGAGGAGCAGTGTATAGGTATAGCCTGCAGAAACCTGAGTGTAGACTGTTCCCGCATCCAAAGCTGGAAGGCTGCATTGTCCATCATCGTTCAGTCCGCAAGCTGCAGCACTACCATCACTTCGGAGAAGCACTGTGTGGCAATCACCGGCAAAATCCATGGCAAAAACACCAGCCGTTTGGACAAAGATTCACATTTCCAGGAGTTGGAACTCACTGGTAGGCAATGCACATTCGGGGCAAGCAGTGGGAATATCTAGCTAGATTCCGAATGTGATGTCTAGCTTAATTCAAGTTCCTTCACTCCAATGCGACTATCCAGATATCACATACTGTCAATTCATTATACGACCAAATTGCAATGGACGAATCTCTTTCTCATTCAATGCCGTGTTCAACATATTTGGATTTTGTTTGGAAATTAAATGGACATGTGTTATTTTTATAGTTTTTCTCTCAACAGGTCCCACCAATGATCCACATCTTTTGGCATCTCCTCCTTGGTCTCACAAACGGTGTGTGTCCATTGGCCATTTCACAGTACCATGTCGCAGCTATATTCCTTGTGCTTTGTCGTAACAAGAAGGCGTACGCGCACATCAGGAATCAGGACAATTCAATTCAACGCACTTGATGGACCATGTTGGTGTGGCACAGTGAGCAAGAAATGCAGGAATGGATGGGTTCCACCGCGGGTGAACTACGATCTCACTGTCGCGTTTTCAGTGTCTTAATGATCGTGAGGGCTATCAGGGGTCTTTCTTAAACCTACAGTCCCAGTGTAAACACAGGGACTCAATAGTGAGCATTCCTTATTACAGATATCTCTGATATCACCGTGAAACCTACTAGAACAAATGATATTCATCATGATATTCATAATCATATTCATCATTATATTCATCATTGTATCAGATATTGTAAGCATCAAAAACAACTTGGGTGAACTTTTATGGCCTTTCTGCATTGAGCTGACAACGTAGTGTGTCATCTGCAGTTGCGATGCTCATTGTCCACGCCATTCACCACAGAACAAGCCTCAGATGTGACGATCATCCCAGGTATACGGGTTGAAAATCAACATGAAACCGCCAACCAAATGTTTTCCTCCCATTTTTTCAGGCACCTCCAATTGGGTGATGTTCTGATGTGTGGAAAACAACCCCTCCGTCCAAACCAAAGCGCTTCACTCTTATCTCCAACGGGGTCCGCGCGCTGTGGGCGTTTCTCTTTTGTACCCAGTGACTTGGTTTCAAGGAAAATCTACAGGAAATCACGATATATATATATATACCATGAACTATAGTGCGAACCGGGGATTGCTTACCCGATTATGTTCCAGTGGTTGTGTTTGCAATGAATGCTCCAATGATGACGTTACACGGGCAACAGCTTCCGCATGGCAGTTCTTTGTTCTGGTGCTGCAGTGGGTCTTGAGCCAAAGAGGCCAGTTTGAAGTGCCCCTTTGGTACTGGATCCTAGAGTGTCGAATTATGTGATAATATACAATGGTCCGTAGCCTACACTCTATTCGCACCCCCCACGCATAGCCAACTTTGTTGGCTACGCGCAAAGGAGTGTCCTTTAAATTGATCCACTACACTCGCAGCTGTTCATTTATTGAATTATGGAGAGCTAAAGTCCGTTCAGAACTTCATATCTACATGGCGGCTTGCTACAATCTCTACCAAAATATAAAGGTTCTGTTCACGTGCATGTAGACACGACGTAGTCGGTGTCTAGCATTGAGGTTCATCCAATGTGGCGTAGCCAGCATGGAGTCTCACTCAAGCATGTGAATTAAAGAAATCAAAACACAAAGTTGACTATGGAACTAGAAGTTTACCCTCCCGTTCCTTCGTCGGTTGAGATGTAGACCGCTGTAGAAACTCAGCGTCTCATGCAATGATGTTCAAAAAAAATGTGTGGTTCTAAATTAGCCGGCTCAGAGTCCTCTCAGAAATCATTCAAAATGAAGTAGAGGTAAATCTCGAGCAATGATTGCATCCTCGCATCGCCAGGTTCAATCAGGACCTATGCAGAGGTCAGATCGCTTAATCATCTATATCCCCATCCATAGTATCCCTGTTGGTTCCAGTCTCCGCCACGGTGTGAATAAGATTTTCCACCTTTTCCTTGGTCTTTTCCACCCTTCTTTGGCGGGGTCACTGGAGCTTGTTTTGGCGGAGGAGCGGTGTCGACTGTTCTCCATGTTGCTGATGATGATGCTTTCGCTTTTGACACTCTTCCCAGTGTTGGTGCTGCTTTCGGGGCTGCTTTCGACTTGCCAGCGGCTGGGTTAGCACGTTCACGATCAGCAGGAGTCGGGGTATCAGCAATCGCAAGTATGTGAGCTTCAGACAAGTGGATGCCCCACCTTGGTCGTTGATCTTCCCGTTGCTTAATGTGATTGTAGTCATCGATCGCATCATATAGCTTTTGGAGTAGAGGTCGTGGCAATTGTCGGCCATTCTGAAGGATCAGGTGTAAAAGTGATATTCTTCGAAGTGGTGGACGAAGAGCACACACAATGTCAACTGGATTCAGTGTGATTGTGTCTTGAAAGTCAACGTTCCTGAAGAAATAAACAGCATTTACCCTATATGCACCTGCAATGATTCTTCTGACCATGACGTCTTGTCGGTCAAGGGCGTCGCGGGCCGCTGTGGTCTTTCTCATCTCATCCATTGTGGTGTCACGTTTCGACAGCTTCTCCATCTCCTCATCAAAGAATATGTTTTGCAAGTCATCATACGTGTAGCCACATTCAAGGGTATATACGAGAAGTCTTTTGAGTACCACTGCCCCATAGTATGCATTGACGAATCCCTCTTCTCCGATGTCGTCCTTTTGATTTGGTCGGCCGATCTCTTTGTAGAGCTCTTTCATCTGTTGTGCAGTTGGTTCAATGAGTTCACCATTTTCATCCTCGCCCAGGTAAGGAGTTCTTGAGTCCAGGTCCATCCTGAATTTCTGGTTCTGTTGAAAATGTTTCCATGCCGTCTCGATGTCTCCACAGAAGTTCCGTTGGAATAGTCTGTAGATTCTGACGATATGTAATCCAATCTGCAACAGGAGGATCTTGATGAATTCTGGCTGAGCATCTCCAATTGTGCAAGGTTCGATCGGCAGGACCTTTGATCCAAACTCAATCCGCTGCATCCACTTGGGGTACTCAATCACTGCATCACGAGCTTCTCCAGCCTCGTACTCTTCTATGTTAATTTCATCGACCGCTATCTCATCATCGTCGTTCTCATCGGTCGGTTTTCCTTCTTGATTGAGAAATTCGTCGACCTCATCTTGTTCTCTGAAGTCTCTTTTCTCATCATTGATGTCGCCCTTCTTCGAGGCTTGATCATCATCTCTTTCTTCTGGTTGAGTTTCTTGTTCTGGACTCTTCATGGTGACATCATCATCATCTGGCATCACCTCGTCGTCATCATCATCACCTGTCAAATCGATCTTCACCTCCTCCCATGCTTTCTTGACATGGTCTTTGAGATCTTCTTCTCGATGATGTGATTCGGCACTTGGTACTGTAGCCACGGTGATCTTGATTCGTTTCCTCCATCCATGACTCACCAAAAATCCTTTGCACATTACACAAATCGATAATGGTGCAGGGGTCTCCATCAGACATGCGGGGCATAGTCGATGGTCCTCTTTGCTAGGGTGATGAGTGACTGCCAACAACGATATTGTATCATTCCAATCCGGATGTCCAGGGAACAATCTGTGAGTATGACTGAAGTGACCGGTCCTGATATCGACAAGTTTTCGAAGTTCGTCCAGATCGGGTGATGATTCTTCAGGCACAATGTTTCCAATGAGCTTGTCAAATCGTTCAATGGTGGCCACCCTCTTTGCACCTTGCACAGAAAGAACAAGTTGATCTCTTCCCTTCGTGATCATGAGACGGTAATAGTCCTTTTCTTTCCAGTCGTAATACCATACTGCATCGAATGATTCGAATGGTATTGTTTCTTGGACCAAAATGTGTCCGTCTGCTGACAATCGAGGGGAGAACTTGGCGATGGAATCGTACGTGATGTAGATGTAGACAAGATCAGTTTGATCAATCTTCCTGAATCTCAGCACCATTTGACTTCTCACATCCCACGGCGCGAATGGCACGAAGAACGTATTGATGCGGTCGCCTCCTCCTCCGGGACGTAGTCCTTCTCTGAAGATTTGAGCGATGTTGTCAAATGTGGTGCAATGAAATCCTCCTCCAAGAGTGTATCCTACTCCAGGGTTCATCTGATAGGAAGTCTTCTTGTCTTCGATGTGCACACCGCCTTGAACTCTTGAATGCGCCATAGGGGCACGGATTGCCACCGGCCAAAGCCAAATCTCTCGATCTGCTGTGCCGATCTCCAACCTCAGTGTTTGTCGATCAAGTCTAGAGGTCAATCCATCATTGAAGTTGTTCATGATGTGTTCCAACTCACCTTTCGTGACCTTGAGTCCTAGCACTTGTGCTCGGATTCTCTTCGTTTGTTTGTACTCAGTGAAGATCACTCTCTGGAAATTGTTCCACCTCTCAACAAGTATCGGGTAGTTGACGTAGGTCGTTCCAGCCAAAGTATGTTGGTCTCTCCAAATGGCATCGTACTTCAAGATCGACTCAACATTGACCCAATCTGCCTCGTCGCATGGTAGTCCACGGTGATTTCGACTGTCTCTGACGCAACCCACGGAGTGGCGTAGCGCTGCATTGAATCTTTTTGACAATTCGACTATCCATGGCGGATTTTCCCACTTGTTGCCCATCCACTCATTCTCGCCATATCGATGCACCTTACACCAGCCCATTCCAAGATATTCTTCTCCATTGATGCGAGCAAGTTGAAGCGTACCGATGTTGTGGCCATGTGTAAATGGTTGGATGTATTTGAAGTTCCAGTTGTCTCCACGTTGTTTTCTTTCTTCAATAAGCCATTTTACATAAGCATCATGATCAAGGGGGTTCCAAGCGTTCAGCTCTTCAATGGTCGGCAAAACAGGTGGGGATTCCTCAGCCGCACGTTCAATCAGCAAGTCAAGCTCATGACGATTCTTCACACCTCGGCTAATTGGGTTGACTTCGACACCATTCACTAAGTATTGTCCTCCTTCTTCACGATCACCAATGTCGTACATAAAGGCTGACTGACTGTAGAAGCACTTGGTCACTTCCTCTTTCTCAGTGAATCTGGTTCTTCCCCAACGCTTTCCTCGTGGCATGACGTTCTTTGGGAGCTTGTCTTTTCTGCCTCTGGTTGCAGCTTTGGATCTTTCGGATGATGATGGGGATTTGGACTTCTGATCCATGATCAACCTCATGCGCCATATGGTGTCCTTCATGTTCTCATCATCTGGTGTAGTACATTCGTCAATGCCATGCCTTCCACCACAAATGAAACAATATTGAACATCCAATGCATCTGAAATCAGCTTCTCAAAACGATCACGGATGTCACGCACCTCGGTTCGGCGCTTCTTCGCTTCTGAAGGTTGTCCCCCCATGCCATCTTCCTCCTCCTCAATCTCGATGTCACCAGCTCCGGCATCGGTTTCTCCTGAAGTTTGTTCTGCTCGAGGGCCCCGCGCCGTAGGCGTCGTGGTCTCCTCATCAGGTTCATCAATTTCATCCACCTCTTCATCGCTTGATGAGACCTCAATCATTTCAGGGTGGTCATCGTAGTTGGCTTCTGGGAGCACCGGCATTCTGGTGATCTTCTTCTGCATGAGTAGGTCAAAAATTCCTGCTTCTTTCAAGATTGTAATCACCATGTCATTCTCGACCGGCGGGATGTATGCTTTCCTGGATCGGTTTCGCTTTGTGTTGATGGTGTCGGTAGGTCGACATGAACTGCTGAATAGCCAAAACGACTCTTCCAGTCCTGCGAGGCAACTGTCAAGGTTTGCCCCCCATCCAGCGAACATAGTAGGGAATTGAATACCCAGATCAAGCATTCCAAGCCAGAATTCGAAAATGTCGCCGACATACTCAGCTGTTGCAGTTGGATTGATCATTGATTCGATCTCCTCCT